AATCTAGGAAAGCAAAGAAACAGGGATGTTAGAAAAATTATTAGCAATGATGCAAATACAGACACAACAAATACAAGAATCATCACAAAAAATGGAAGAAACAAAACAAACAATAGAGAAAAACCAAAAAGAAACATCACAAAAAATGGATAAAAATAACAGAAATATAGAGCAGCGTTTGGAAAACTATAAACAAAAATTAGAAGAAAATGATAGGAAAATTGAAAAGCGTTTGGACAAATATGAAAATGATGTAAAAGTCTGTTTAGAAAAAGTCAGAGAAGAAACAGAGAGGAAACTAGAGATGCGGAGAGAAGATATAGAAACTAAAATGAAAGATATTAAGACTGTCCAGAAAAAGGAATTAGAACATTTAGAAGAAAAATTTGAAATGGCGCTACAAGAAGACAGGAAAGAAGTGGAAAGGAGATTAAAGCAAAATGAAAAACAAATGGCAGATATTGAACTAAGAGGAGTAGAGAGAAAAGAAGTTATCATCCATGGAACAAGCGAAGCTAAATTACAGTTTGGCGGGGATGTAAGAAAACTGCACCCCGTACCGTTCATGAATAATCTAAAGAAGAAGATACAATACATGGGAAACTTTGAGACAGCTAAGGAAATGATCAGATATCATCTCAAAGATAAGGCGAGTCTATGGTTCGACAGCAAAGTGGAGGAATTTGAAAATTGGCAAGAATTTGAAAATAAATTTCTGAGTTTTTTCTGGTTAGGGACAGAGCAATTACAGATAAACAAGGAGTTGCAAAATGGGAAATACCATGAGAGGATGGTTATATCAGAAAAAAAATACGCATTGCAAATGTACAATAACGCAAAACATCTGTAATACAATTATTCATCCGAGCAATTAGTAGAGTTGATTGCAAGACACTTTGATGACACAATTGAAGACCAAATCAATCTACAAAACTACAAAGACATCGATAGTTTATGCAAATTACTACAAATAAGGGCATCACGGATCCATGAGAGAAGAGCAAGAAGGTCACAAGAAAATTACAGACACCGAGAAATTCAGGAATACAGAGAGAGAGGACAAAATTTTAGGAGGGATTACACTAGACGAGAATTTATTCCCAGGAGAGAAAACGAAAATAGGGAAAATAGAAGAGGAAATGATGATTTCAGAAATCGGCCATGGAATGAGGACAAATATCGAGAACATCACAACAGAAATAACCCGAAAAGAGAAATTACAATAGACGAAATGAACAGGAATATCGTGGAAACCGGAACGGACATGACAGACCAAAAGAAAATAGAAGAGAGGTAAATCATACACAAATAGAAGAAAATGAGGATCAAAGACACAGCGATCAAAGAAGAAATACGGAAGAACAACAGTCGGTTTTTCACGAAAGCACCCACTAAAACCAAAAAACCAGGCAGGAATTTTTTGTCACCCAAAGGAATTTATTAAATTAGCAGGAAATAATGAGGAAAAAAGAGGAGTTAATTTAAAATTTGTAGATGGTTTCATCAAAAATATACCAATCAAAATTTTGATAGACACCGGTTCAGAAATAACATTGGTAAACAGAAAATTAATAGAAGAAGTGAGTTTGACAAATTAAATTTACAAAATACCAAGGCTAAATTTGGAGGAAAAAAGAGGAGTTAATTTAAAATTTGTAGATGGTTTCATCGAAAATATACCAATCAAAATTTTGATACGACACCGGTTCAGAAATAACATTGGTAAACAGAAAATTAATAGAAGAAGTGAGTTTGACAAATTGAATTTACAAAATACCAAGGCTAAATTTGGTGGGTGCAAATAAACGGACATTGACAACGATAAATGAAGGAATACGAGTGAGGGTACGATTGGATGAGAAAATGTATGCATTACAATGTGTAATAATGCCAAACATGTCGCATAACATGATTGTATGAGTGGACGAACTGGCAGAAAAACATGTAGTCATAGATTTCAAAAATAAAACGATGAAACTAAACAGAAGAAAAAGAAGAAGAACAGGAAAATGAACATGGGAAACAGAAAATTGATAATTCGGAAAAAGAACAAACAGTGGAAATGAATTTGGCAACGAGCTAGGACAAAGAAGAAAAGGAAGAAAACTTAAGAAAAGGATAAAGGAACTCAATACCGGGGATTCCTCAAAAGAAGAGATGAGCCTCGAAGAAGAAGAAGAAAAAATGGCAACAAAGGAAAACGAAAAGGATATGATTGAAACAGTGGTATTTAAGGAAGAGATTGATAAAAAAGAGGAGGAAGAATGTGCGATAAATATGTGTCAAGAATCTGAGGAAAAAGAAAGAAAATTGATATGTGGAGAAGAAAAAGAAAATGAGGTGTGTCTGATGTTAAAAGAACACGAAACTTTAATAAATGAGGAAAACAGAGTGGCAAAAAAGTACGAACATTCTTTTGAGGTAAAAAACTTGGGAAACTTTCGATCGAAGACTTACCCGATCCCATATAAATATCGGCAACAGGTGAAACAAGAAAAATAATAAAATGTTGGAAGATCAAATAATTGAAAGATTATGGGAATTTATAATATCAACGATGTTTATAAATATTATGAATAAAATACTGGTATTGTTTTTGCATAGAGAAAAATCCCTGCATAATTCAGTAATTTTTATCGTATGCAAAGGCGGGGATTCTTTGTCATGTTTCTTCTTTCCCAACCAAAGAAAATTAAATAAAAAGATCCATCGGAATAAAATTTTAAGATATCAGTATAAACCAATTGTATATAGTACTTTAAGATAAGATTTAGTGTAGATAAGAATAGAAATTTGTTTGGCAAACGACCTTTTCCTTTGGCAAACGACCTTTTCCGTTTCCAACAAAATTATCAAAAAACCCCTTTGTTTAGAATTAGAAGACATTTTACCTGTAAATTAATCTTTATATTGTTTGTATAATCAAGTATTAAATGACCATATTCTAATCTTTTGAAATATGTATAAATTGTGTATTGACAAAACCAATTTTAAAGTAAGCTATTTAGTTTTTCTCTGAAACAGAAATTAGGCTTTTCCCAAATCATGGTAAACACAATTTGAACTTTTGATTGGACGGTCGTTTTTTGAATGGGAATTTGTGAGCCGATCAGGAGGACCGGAGAAGTTAGTGATAATTTGGTCATCAAAGGAAACAGTCGTTAGTCTCAAGATAGGGTGTGGTTCGTGAGGTGGAAACCGGCATTGTGAAAAGAATTAAATAGTTTTGCAGAAGGAGATAACAAGTAGATTACAAGAGGTCCTTGTATCTACCGTGGGCATTTTGTGAAAATAGGTGAAAGTAGTTTTACGGCATCAAGTTGACAAAAGGAAGTACTTGTGTCATTAATAAGTAGCTGAGTTTTTGGAGAAGTGAATCAGGTGTTTTTGGTTAGTGCAGGAGGTTTGCAGAGACGTTTGGAAGGAGCCGAGGTGCCAAAAAGGAGAGATCACATCGTTGAGGAGACTGGACTTTTCTGGGTATGTTCCAACATACAATTCAATAAAAAAAGCTGTAAGTGTTTTGTACAATTAAAATTAATATCTGTAAAGGATCTGTGTTGACATCATGGTCATTAGCATTCAAATTTAAGAACTGAGGTTTGTTAGACTAATTAAAAGTTTTATTGTTTCTTGTTCCAAGTAAAGGAAAATTTAAGTAAAATTGGTTTTCACTTAATATAAATGTATGTAGATTGCTTTTGTACAATTGTATCAATTGTTTCCATACAAATAGTTTAATACAACTTTATTATCATAAATTGATTCATAGAATCTTATTAAATTTAGTTCTAGATGTGATGAACCTTGGACTGTTGGAAGTTTGATCAACCTTCCCTTGTGGCTGGCTAACCAGTCACAACGTAGACTATTAACATATGATTTTTTGGATTGACTTCTCTTGTTTGTTCTTTATTTCATCTCAACCGATTACTGGAGAGAAAAAAGGAGTTCTTAACCACCTTTTCCTTTCAGTTTTTTGGTTTTTACAGACAGTTTGTCGACCAAATTTTGTCATACTTTTTAAATAAACCGCTTTATTGTACTGGAGTTGGTAGTAATACGCCTTGTTGATCTGTCACTAGTTGACCTCTTGGCATCTGTCTTTTCACGTTGTTGACGTTTAACACCTGTTGCCTTCATTTCACCGGCAGCACTCGACAAGCTGAGTGGTAACTTCATTATTACTTTTAAATTACTAAAATTTTTAATTAAACATTAGAATAATGCCATCTAAAGTTAAAATGAAATCTTAATTATTTAATTACTGTTGGAAGTGCATTCTTGGACCTTTTAGTTATTTTCTACACTAATTTTGTTTTTTATACATGATAAAGTTTTTACATATATTTTTTTAACATACATGTAATACTACCACATGTTTTTTTTGCTGTGCTAATTTTATGAAAATTGTCAACTGTATTTAGTTCAATTTATTGTTTATACAACATAATTATATAATGTCCATTGTCGTAAGCTTCTTTACAATAATTGTGAATATCTTTGACTGCTACATATCTTTTTGAGGTAACATACTTAATAGCTTTTCATTGGATGTTAGGTTTTTCATATTGTTCTTTTTAGATGAACTGATGATGCTATCAAATTGGATAGCAAAACGTTTTCAATAAATAGATGAAGTAGCCATCATCTTTGTCTTTTTGTCTTTTTTTTCTCCAATTTTTGACCGAAAAACCCGCCACTCTTCGAGTGATCCTTATTTTATATATATATATATATATATATATATATATATATATATATATATATATATATATATATATATATATATATATATATGAAAACGAAAAATGTATAATTTATAAACAGATAAGAACATACATACTTTGACGAAACCATCAAGAAGAATTCTCTTTAAGAAAAATAAAAACGTATAAAAGGTACCAATTGGTAAAATCTTGCCAGGTGTTGGTTCCATTCTAATATATGGTAAATAAGGGAAAAGATTAAAATTAAAAATAAAGTTTAGAAGTACTTACGGTTGTTTGAACGAGATCCCACATGGTGGCAGTTGATGTCGAATTGTTATATTTATACATAGCTGTGGTCAGCGAATCCTCCAAATAGTTTGATGTTTTGTCTCTCAATACGTAACCGGCAATTCCAGCGGAAAATTCAAAAATAAATATAATACCCAACAGCACTGAAAACTAAAACAAATAAAGAATAAATTTAACTTACATTAGGTAGTATCATATTTACTCTAAGTATAATTAATTAATAGTAACAAATAAAGCAATAAATTCTAAATAATATAGGAAAGAAATTATCTAATTTACAAAATGTTATTTATTAAACAATTTTTTGATACGATTATATCAAAGAGACAAATCATAAAAGTAGCTCATGCAGTTCTCGGAATAAAAACAATATACATAAAAATGGTAAATGGTTTAAATGGTTTAAATTGGACATAAAATAGGAATTAAATGAAAAAACATATACAAATAAAAAAACACGAATACTACCAAAATATAAAACTTGGTCAAAAAATGTAACTAGGTAAGATTCATAAAAGAGTTACAAATCAATGTGTACCAACAATAAACAAACAATTGTCGAAACTGCATACACTTAAAGACATCTGGATTAGATCTTACAAATATGTAAAACATTAGAAATAAAAAGAGTGTAATATCCATGGATAATTAAATTTATTTTGCTCATATTATAACAGAATCTCCCCATTGTGCTTGGCGATTTTGTTGGCTGTCAAAGTAAGAGAGACCGCGACTCCGAAAATGTCTTTATTTTTCTTATTTAGCAGCAGATGAGGGTTCACGAAATAGTTCGATGTTTGCTTTAATCTGAACATTTGCTTCACTCTTTTAAATAATGAATGTATCTACTTAATTATTTCAGCTCCGGAACTTGATCTCGATCGTATCCTCAGATTGTTCAATACTCATGTATTTGAGAATACTACCAACTAAGTCGTTATGCTATGCTGCACAAGGCCGTCAATAATAGATTGAAGATCTGTTAAGCTGATTGCTAGAATCACAGTGTTATAAGCGCAGTGCACCATTAAAATCTGCTTTATTAGTTTCGGATACTGATTACTTAAAATAGAGAAAAGAGGCGGGAAGATACTTTTTATGAAGTCTTCTGACATCCAGTTCAGCACTTGAACTGGATTGTTACTTTTTAATGCCTGTATACCATGAAATTTAAGTCTTATACATATATCCTAGTCGAATGAAGGATTTCATTTAACTTGAAACTATAAACTTTCGATTTGAAAAATTATCACGAAAATTGCCGTAAATTATATTGTGTCAACGGGATGACATCGCGATCAATTCTATAGTCTATAGCTAACTAGTCCCCAATAATTTTTTGTTTAAAATACATTAGAACCAATTGGTGATTATAATCAATTGGCTATAATAACAGCTTACTATTTTAAAATAATCTATTTTTCGATTTCCGTAGTGGAAAGAAATATCATAATAACATGTTTATAGTGGATTCAGTGTAATGTAGAATATTCTACGTCACATATAAATGAATAAAAAAACAAAATCAATTAACACATAAAATAAATGAAGGTTATCATCAATATCAGCTCTGTTTTGGTAATATTGACCTTAACGTGCACCACAAGTTGAACGACAAACAGGCTAACTTTTAGATAACTACATGATGCATCTCATGCTTTTTTGCAGTTGCAATATATCATTTTCAAGAAGTCTTGTGGTGCCGGACTTTGCTGCAGTCTAATTGGATGCAATGATTCCTCAAGTGTAGTCTACCTACAATCAGTTTGATCAATGTTTTTGTTGACATGCCAAACTTGAATCGGATACTAGCAAATTTTAATATACTCATTCAGAGCATCCATTGTAGGAACAAGGCATTGATTGCATGGTTTTTAATGGCTGATTTAATTAATGATTTATATACCATTTGTTCAATGAACACTTGCAAGTCTTAAATTTTAAGCATTTTTTTTCTTGTGTATCTTTAACAACCTACAAGCTTCTAGAATTTTCTGTTTCGGTGGAACTACTGTAAAATATATATGTCTGTTCATTTAAATCCGGACTTTTTTTCATAAGTTCAAAATAAATTTTATCCTTATTATAAGATGCTGACGTTTTATCACAACCAGTGAAGGAATGCGAAAACGCTATAAATTTTGTACCGCTTGGATAGTCTACTTCGAAGCTTTGAGAGAATGTACCAGAGAGGGGATATTTTATTTTCCTAATTTTGGATAAAAATTATTTGATCGGCTTTAGCTCTGGTAGTCAAAATAACTAACACGTTAAAACTTTCTCTTTCAGTAATTTTTTGTAAAGTCGGCTCAGTTTGCATGGCGATTTTGACAATTAATTCATCGGCGTCAAATTTTCCTTGATAGCAGTTGCTATATGCTTGATAGCAGATTGCTTTTTACTTTAATTTCTCCATTTCATTTTAAATTTTTCACACTTTTGGATCCCATTAGTGATGCTTAAATAAAGTGAATTTTAAATTTAATTTAACGTTTAATTGCAATTAAGGTAGAAATAGCAAGAGTAGTATTTTAGTTTTTTTTTTCAAGAAAAAAAAATAGGACACAACTTAATTTCGTCACATTATTGTCGACCTTATTGTCGTCATACTATCTTAATTCATATACTGGAGAGTTGTACAAAGTCTCATTTTAACCCGTTCTTCAAGTATTTTAAAAAAAGTATTATAATTTTTTACTGTTACTCTATGATGATTTTTTTTAATTTTTCATTAAATACCTAATTTTCACCTTTAATGAGTTTTCCTCTTTATTGTAGCGATGACTATTTGATTTGGCCGCTGCTACAGCAAAAAAAGCAATATCTTTTTTTTCTGTTTTCGAGAAGTTTTTCAGTTAATCAGTTAGTAAAACATAAACAGTTAGTAAAAAACCAATTAAAAACATGAGAGAAATTGAAATTTTCAATCTTGAATAAGTCTAAAAGTATTAATTTTTTGAAAAAACTTTATAAAACATTTTTGTTTAGAATGTATTTTCCTATGAACTCTTAAGATTATTTTTAATATGAAGTTTCCCACTACCGATTTGGGCTGAATTGGGAGTTAAAATGGTATACTGCACTATAAATATTTTTAACAAAAGTGAACATCAAGAGCGACTAAATAACAAAGAAATAAAATACTTACTGCCATAAGCATGATCCAACTGTTTTTAATTGCTCCGTAGCATCCCAAAAAGCATATAAGAAAGATAAATGTTCCAGTAGCAATTAACATATTTGGTAAAGAGAAATATTCACTGTTAAGGAAAAAGTCATATTTTGTGTAGTAGGTATGTATACTAGCTCCAACTGCGATTAAAATTATACCAGTTATCTAAAACAACAATTAAATGAGATTAGTATTGGCATTAAGTACAGAAAAATTAAAATTTATTTGTATTTATTTATTTACAATTAGATTCACATCTTCTATCAGCTATTCAAATTAAAATTGCTATAATGTTTAATATAATATGACATTACCCAATCGTTGTAAGAGTAGGAATTATCGTATTTTTAAATAACGAAAAAAATGTCATATATATATATATATATATATATTATATATATATATAATATAATATATATATATATTATACATATATATATATATATATATTTTATATATATATATATATATATATATATATATATATATATGATTAAATCTTTTAACAAAAGCTGCCATCACTTTGTTGAATTAAATGGCCTAATATATGGACCAGAAGAACAAATTCGTCAAACTTCCCGTGCTCGAATCGGTATCAATTTATGACTCATTTCAGTATCCCTGCTTCATTAGACACTCAGGCTGATATAAATTTAAACTCGGAAAGTCCAACGAATGTCTCCTAAATCTTTACCACTGCATTGTTTAGCTTACAGAGGTGCCATCCACTTTGATGGCCATGAACGAAAACGATTTATTAATATCGTTATCTATCTTCTGGTCTATACAAAATGTGTAAAATATTAAATCTTTTAGCAACAGCTGCTATCGCTTTATTGAATTGAATGGCCAAATATATGGCCTAGGAAGACAAATTCGTTAAACTTCCCTTCCTGGAATCGGTATCAATAAAGTGTTATGACTCATTTCAGTATCACTGCTTTATCAGACACTCGGACCTCGGGCTGATACAAATCCAAACTCGGAAAGTCGAACGAATGTCTCTCAAATCTTCACCACTGCATTGTTTAGCGTACAGAGATGCCATCTATTTTTCTGACCATGAACGAAAACGATTTAATAATATCGTTTTCTGTCCTCTGGGCTATACGAAATGTGTAAAAGATTAAATATTTTAGCAACAACTGCTATCGCTTTGTTGAATTGAATGACCAAATAATATATGGTCCAGGACCACAAATTTGATAAACTTCTAGTGCTCGAATCGGTATCAATAGAGTCTGATGTTGAAATGAATCATAGTATTCTATTCTAACATCGCCAACATAACCAGCATATTCATATTAGGCTAAAAAAGACGAACTATCTATAAAAGTGAATACAAATCTTGTTTGTACTCTATTATCTAATTTAATATGAATAAATATGTGACCCTTGATTTCGCAGTAGGTATATTTTATAATATTGATCATATTGAGGTATTTATTTAAGTCGTTTTGAACCTTCAAATCATTGATTATAGAGAATAAAATTTTCGACTATAATCTAATTCAATAATGATAAAAGTATTAGTTATTTAAAAGATGAATACGCTTGAATCTCCAACAATAGTAAATATATATATATATATATATATATATATATAATATATATATATATATATATATATATATATATATCCGATATAAAGAGGTGAAATAAGTATCAACAGATTCAGTATATTTAGGAACTAAACGGATACTAGAATAATTAAACAATCGATTTATGATAGCGCTAGTATGTTGTATGAACTGGCGTACTAGATGTAGAATTACTCGTAATAGCTCCAGAATCTTTGTCAAAAACTTTTCTGATAGTGTTTGCTTAGGGTCCAAAAATGTTTGTATCCCCTGATTACATACAATCTGTCTTTGATTTTTGAGACAATAACTTTTTTTACGACGGCTTACGCTACATATAAAAAACTTATAGTGATAATTTTTCGACTGTTCTAACAACCATTCAAATTTCGTCATTTTGTGTCATGTGGAACAATTTCATCCAATCATGTCAACATTAGACTGATAATTGCATTCAGTGCAATTTTCACTCCCTATGACAACACGATCGAGTTTGACAACTTCATCCAAATAAATTTCAAAATGTCACGTTTCGGCAATGAGAATGTTCAAAGTATAAATGCGCTAATCAAAGAAAACATTCCCAGAAATACAACCTACAGTCACAAATATATTTGGGGAATAATCAGAATTCTATAAAACCATACTTAAATCTCGATCAAGAACACCACAACAAGATTATAAATATTATGCGTGGTAATAGATTTTCTATAGTAGAGAACAGCAACAAATCTAATGTTAACTTAAATTTTAATAATTGTACTTTCACTAACTGTACTTTTAATAAATAAATGTTTCGTTATGTTGAGTTATGATTTTTTTTTTCGAAAAAATTATCCGCCGAATATCCCTCGGACATTGATGAATGCCTCATAATTTCATGACAAATTTCTCAAGCTCGTCAAGCTCAAGGAAAGCTCAAGGAACGAGCTTTCGATTGTCATGAAATGATCTCGTCTGTTATCAATGCCCTAGGGATATTACTACTGATAAATTCTGCAAATAAATTCGTAATCTTTATTATCATGTATATTAATCTATTTTTCGACCAGAAACGCATGTCCGTAGATTTGAAATGTTTCGACATCTTTCGGTAGGTTCACCACTTAATATTTTATACTTTGTTGTATTTCCTTTCACAGTTAAGTTTTTAAATAGCGCTTGAATCGTAAGCATCGACCAAGTAATTTGTTTTGAAATCGTTTGAAGATTTTGAGTTTGAGAATGTTGTGTGCGAACAACTGGATTTTATATATCCACATTGGTTTTAATATGGACTTGTAGTTATACACAAGAAGTCTATAGAATTTGTCCCCATAATTCAGGAAAGTTCTTTTTTTATAAAAATGTGTTGTCGTCAGCAAAGCTTACTGTTAAGTTATATTTCCTTCTTCAGTTGAAAATTTTACATTTTTACTGATCACATTTACAGTTGTTTATTTATACTGTAACTAAATCAGAGAACATGAGAAAGCTAAAAATTCGGCAAAGTAAGAAACCAATACCCCTTTTCTAAGCCCGGAACCCTTTAGCTTAATAATCAAAAGCCACGTAAAAGGGTGTCTTAGAAAACGAATAATTACCACTGGTTAATATGCCAAAATTAAGGTCAGCAAAAAGATTCGTAAAATTATCGTCTGATAGTGCCTTCCCAAAATGAGCAAAAAAGATATTAAAACAGACCTGACCGGACATTGCCCTTTAGGTATCCCGACAATAAAATGGACATTATATATATTATATATATATATATATATTTTATTTCAAAAATGAACGTAAGTTCATTTTTCCAACTCGTTAGTTTCTTCCTAAGCTGAGTATGGTTTATACCACAGATCACCTACCTCCTAGATGTTCCACGACAATGCTTTAGTTGGATATGAAATTCAGCGCTCCATAAGATTTGTATCGGAACTAATTCAAGCGGGAAATTACGCGGGAATTTCAAATTTTAATTTTGGTGTGGAAATTTAAATAAAGCTTAAAATATTTAAATATAATTTGGTATATTTGAAAAAAAATGCATTTGACATTTTTAAATTCAAATATACACAATACAATTTAGGAAAAAATAAAACAAAATGTAATTTATTTATTTATTTAAAACTTGTAAAACAACTTTGTAATTTAGAATAGAATAAAAATATGCTATTACCACTGAAAATTGTACAATTTTATGGACAAAGCTTACAAAAAGTCAGAAAAATAGCAATTTAAAATTTACTGAAATTACATAAATCGTCAATATCACAATATAAAAGATAATAAAATACACAATGTATTCCAAAATTTAAATAAAGTGCATAATAAATCTTTACGAACTAATACATTTAAGTTTCTGCATGTGATACTGAAATATATATATATATATTTATACAAATAGTTTAGTTACTTGTACATAACACTATTCGTTAAGAAACTCTTCTACTGAATAATATGATCTTTCAGATAGATAGGACTTTGTTCTTTTACGGAACTCAAGGAAAGAAGAAGTTAATTTAATAATTTATACCATGATTCACTTCAGGTAAAATAATGTTTGTTAATTACATATTAGGGTTACTCACTTTCTGTTACATTTGCTTCCCCACTCACAACTCACAACATTGAAATACTTCTGGAATGTACATTAGAAGAAGAATCTAAAATCGATCATCAATCAGATATTTGTTCTCTAATATCAAATATTTATTGGACTCATCATACAAATGTAAGCTAGGAATTGCATTTTTATAAAATTTATGACTCCATGAAGAAACAAACTTATCTTCGTGTCTGTGGCAGACTCGTTTTGTTTTAAAAACTGTACTAGCATTCATCATATCTAAATTAGGATTATTTATAACACTAAGCCACTTCCTAAATCGTGTAATGTCTTTATCAGGATTTGGAAAGGCATGTCTAATTAATGACGAATTGGTACATTGTAGGATACAACATTTATTGTGAAGAACCATATTTAACTAATTATTATTAATCTGCAAAATACTGTTTGAACACCGCCAGGAACATTTAAAAACACAGATCACTGAGGTAGGGGATTTGTAATTTACAATTTAACAAAATCAAAATATAGACGCTAATATGACATTTGGCGATTGACAATTATAATTCTTAGTTGTGTTCTAAACCTAAACTGTAGAGTAAAGGTAAAGACAGAGTAAAGTGACATCTGAAGATTTGTATCGGTACTACAAATGACATTAAGTTTGGTTTGACCTTGAGCTACCTACGTGAAACGTCTAGTTATTAGTGGTCTGTGGTTTATACTGCTTTCGAGCAGAATTTCGTTTCATATGGAAAAGTACGCAAAATGTGTGTTTCTGGTTGTTACTGAAACTGACTTTGTACCTTCGTAGTCTGCATGAATAAACGAATAATTTTTGTTTTGTATCCAATAATGTTTATGTATTCATGTCTAAATATGGATCATGTTGTGTACTATTATCACGGTACTACGTATTATTTCTTCAGTCCGTTACAATTATTTGTGGTTGTTTTTTAAATACAAATTTCGATTTGGCAGATATATGCAAGGTTTCGAATTAGTAATATAATATATACACCTATGTAACCATAGTTAGT